CTCTTCCATCTCTTGTATTCTGTTGGTTATGCTTACATCTGTAGTTCCTGATCATTTACCCAGCTTTTCTATTTCTAGCATTCCCTCATATCATGCTTTCTTTATTGTCTCTATTTCAATTTTTAGGTTTTGAACTGTTTCCTTGAGAGATTTATTGATATCTTGTATTTTTTCGTTAGTTTTTCTTCCATTTTAAGGGATTTTCTCATGTCCTCTTTGAGGTCCTCTATCATTTCCATGAAGATGCTTTTAATGTCATTCTCTTCTTGTTCATCTGCATCATGATGTTCAGGCCTTACTGGTGTATGGTTCCTAGTCTCCGGTGGTCTCATATTGGGTTTTCTGTTGTTGGATGTGCTTTTACCTTGTCCTCTTCTCCTCCTTTCTTCTGGTGGGTGTAGCAAGAGTTTCTTGTTCTCCTGGTGGGTGTGGGACCAAGGTTCCCTTCTGGTAGATGCAAACAGATCCAATACTCTGATGTTGGTCCTCTTTTCTTGGATGGAGGTGTCACTGTTACCTGGGTGTCGGCAGTGTTTGGGCCTGCCGGGTCCCACCAGTCCGGAAGTTGGAGTCAGAGCGGTCACTGGGCCTAGGTGTGTCGGATCCCACCTCCAAACTCCTTCCAGCACGCAGGTTGCTGTGTCAGATGACTCTGAGCAGCGACTATGAACTGGAGCCGGAAACAGCTCCTGGCCTACCTGGGCCAGCGAATGGAGGCCAGGCTGCCTCTGGGTTTTAGTTCTCTTTCTTAGTTGTGTCTTTGTGTGGCTAGGGTATCAAAGTTATTGTAGCCTCGTAAAAAGAGTTTGGCAATGTCCCTTCTGATTCTATTGTGTGGAGCAATTTGAGTACTATGGGTATTAGCTCTTCTTTGAATTTCTGGTAGAATTCTGCAGTGAAGCCATCTGGCCCCAGGTTTTTTTGGTTGGGAGACTTCTGATGACTGCTTCACTTTCATTAGGGGTTATAGGTCTATTTAAGTTGCTTATATGTTCTTGATT